ACTGACTTTGGAAATTTCAGCCATGACTACATCAAATGTTTCTTCTGGTCCATTCTCACTTTATTTTCTTTTTGGTATTTAAGTTATGTTGCACCTTTAGAAACTGTCCCACCATTCTTAGATTCTCTGTGTGTGTGTTCCCATTCTTTCATCTCTTTGTGTTTCAGTTTGGGATGTTTCTATCAACGTGCTGTCAAGCTCACTGATTCTTCCCTTGGCCATGTCCAGTTTACTGAGGATCCCAACAAAGGCATTCCTGGTTTGTTAGTGTTTTTGATTTCTAGCATTTCTTTTTGATTCTTAAGTTTCTCTCTCTCTGCTTATATTATTCCTCTGTTCTTGCACACTGTCCACTTTTTCCATTAGAGCCCCTAGCATATTCATCCCAGTTGTCTTAAAGTCCTGGTGTGATAATTACAACACCTCTGGCATATTGGAGTCTGATGCTCTATATCTTCAAACTTTGTTGTCCTTTAGTATGTCTTATAATTTTGTTATTGTTGAAAGCCAGGCATGATGTACTGGATAAAAAAAACTGAGGTAAAAAGCCCTTTAGTGCTAAGTTTTAGGTTTATGAGATTTGAATCTGTGGGTATTTTCATTGAACCTATAAAATACATCCCTGCCCTTGCCTCCTTCCCCTTTCTGGGACTCTAATTATATACATTAAATCACTTGATATTGTTCTAGAGTTCACCAAGTCTAAGTTCTTTTATTATTTTCCACTCTTATTTTCTGTCCTTCAGTTTGAATAGTTTCTATCCAAAACTTTAAGTCATTAATTTTTTCTTCTATGGAATTTAATCTGTTGATCCTTTCCAATGGAATATCTTAATCTGGTATTGTGAGAAAACAGTTAATGCATAGGTCTATTTTTTACTCACTTCTTACTCATCTGTAGCCAGGGCAGTGATCTCTGTCTGGCCAAGCCCTGAAAACTAAATTCCTGGATATTCACATGGTTACTAGTTGTGTTCTGATATATAACTGAAGCAGTAGCTGTAGATTAAACAGGCTATAAGTGTTTAAAGTAAACATGAAGATATATGATATGCGCTTGATGCCTTAATTGGGGTCCACACCATTGCTGCTCACATAGCTATGTGACTAGTCCCCTTTAAGAGCTCTGAATTTAAAGACTTGAGTGGGCTTCCCTGGATGGAGATACATTGTGAGTCTGCAATTCACCATTGTGAGGAAAAGCACATTTGTATGAATCTCAACAGAGACAAGACTCAGAAGCTTTCATGTGACTTCTAACATTTGCCTGTTTTCTGTTCCTGAACTATATATATATATTTTTTAATTGTAGTAAACCTCAGGCATAATTTTACATTCTCATACGAGTCTTTCCAGTAAATCACCAAATTAGCTAATGGTCATGGGAATCCCTGAAACAGGTATTTTTCATCCCTACAAGCTATTTTAGTTCTTTTAAATATCTTCCTCCCCCCCCCATTATTTTCATGCTTCCCTTTAAATACTTATGCATAGTTTTAATAGTAGTTTTAATATGCTTGGGTGTTAGTTCAATCAGGTAGTCATTTCTGGGTCTATCTCCATTGATTTTCCTTATGGGTCATATTTTCCTGCTTCTTGGCATGTCTACTAATTTTTGACTGGCTATTGGACATTATTTTTATATTGTGGAGTATTTTGTTGTTCTAGTGTTGTGCTCTCTTTTGCAGGGCAGGCAGGGACTTCCAGATCATCTTGATCCCATTAAGGCCTATTTTTATACACTGTCAGGGTAGGTCTACAGTAGACTTCTCTCCTGGGACAGTTCAATCTATTCCTAAGGCATGACCCCATTCATTAATGGATCTCCACTTAATGCCTGGGGGTATTACTGAGGACTCTCCTCTGTCCATTAGAATTTTTCCTCATCTTCTAAGACCTGTGGCAAACTTACAACTCCCCATTATTTCTTGCCTTACCTTCTAAGATCTTACTCTGAGGATGTGTGGCTAGCTTAATGTTCAGCAAAGATTCAAGGGGATCCCATTGCAGATTTCTGGAGCCCTTTTCTACATAGCTCCAAACCTGCAACTTCTAGCTACCTCAACCTCCCTGAACTCCAACCCCCACCTTGCAAGATAGCCAGGCTGTTTGGGTTCTCCCTTGTTTACAGTCTGAAAACTTCCCTGCAGAAATTTAGGGTAATTGGAGGGGTCATCTCATGTTTCCCTTCTCTTAAGGATCATAGTCCTGCACTGTTGTTCCATGGTTGATTGTAGTCATTTCATATTTCTTCCAATTTGTTTATGGTGGGATATTACAACTGGTAGCATGGGTGGAAGCATACTTAGTGATCTCTTGCATTAAGTTCCTAACAGGTTTCTTTGTCACACCATGCTTAAAAGCACTGGATGGTTCTTCATTGGGAAATAAACCATAATTTGAAAAACTGTACTACTACTCCAAAACAGATAAGGTATTCTAAACCACATCAGTCAAGTCATCTAAGCTTGGACTGTTTTAACTCTAGCTTACTTAGAGCTAGGAGTCCCAAGAGAAGACTATAGTAACAGGAGCTCAGCATGATCTCATATATCCTGTTGTTTTTTTTTAAGATTTTATTTTAGATTAAGAGAGCTCACATGTGTGAGTACGAGGGGCAGGGGGAGAGGGAGAGAGAGAATCTCAAGCAGACTTTGTGCTGAATGTGGAGGCCAATGTGAGGCTTAACCTCAGACCCTGAGATCATGACCTGAGCCAAAATCAAGAGTTGGATGCTTAATTGAGCCACCCAGGCATCTCATCCCAAATTCTAAAGATAAGACCACCAGTCTTGTGAAACTGGTCAAAGCTAGCATAGGCAAATTTCATAAATATTCCACATGTGCTTGACATAAGTTGTCATGTTGAATGCGATCTTCTTCCTCAGTTCATTAAACTGCGCTTGTCAATTGTATTATTCAAATCTATATTTTTACTGACTTTTTAATTTAAATTCTTGTTAGTTAACATATAGTACGTTTCAGAGGTAGAATTTAGTGATTCAACACTCAGTGCTCATTACATCACATACCCTCCTTAATGCCCATCACCCAGTTACCCCATTTGCCAACCCACATATCCTCCAGCAACCCTCAGTGTGTTTCCTATAGTTAACAATCTCATTTGCCTCCTTCTCTGTTTTCATCTTATTTTTCCTTCCCTTCCCCTATGTTCACCTGCTTTGTTTCTTAAATTCCACATATGAGTGAAATCATATGGTATGTCTTTCTCTGGCTGACATATTTTGCTTAGAATACTCTCTAGTTCCACCCACATCATTGCAAATGGCAAGATCTCATTCTTCTCGACAGTTGAGTAATTTACTGACTTTTCTTGTTTGATCTAATTACTGAGGAATATTCAAATCTCTACTGTAATACAGGATGTTGATTTTTCCTTGCAATTTTTTTTCCCCCAGTGGCCTGCAGCCCGGACAGTGGTTAAAATTCTTTGGGTGGATTATTTCCTTCCTCCTAAGAACACAGCCAAGTTTATTTGCTTCTTTCTGAGAAGCAGAGTGTTTTACACCTCCCCTCCCCCTGGGGATACAGCCCATTGGGGTCCCAGCTTTACACAAAGGTTTCCTGTTTGAAACTTCACCCGGGCAGGCCTGGGCTTTAAGGTTTTCTGCGTTATCCTGAGTGCAAAGCAAAACTCACTTCTAGGCTTCCCAGTTTCATTTCATTTGGGGTCCTATAAACCCTTGATTGTCTGTTTGTGGTGCTCAGCAACACAGTAACAAGTTTTTAAAAATTATTTTATGTAGAATTTTAGTTGAACCCATTGAAAGGATCATTCAGAGCCTCTCCAGACTGCTTCAAATCTTTGAAATCCTATTCCCCCCTCATGGTTCAGTTCAAATACAGCTGTTTTCACTAACTTCTGATCAATTAACCACCCCCACCCCATGTCCAGTGGAAATTAATAGCATCTTCCAGGTTTTCACGGTGCTGTTCTACCCAGGTTATAGCAACTGCTACAACCAGCCTTGCTTTTTAGACAATCACGTTTGTATCTTTCTTTCCCCAATAAAAGGCAGCTTACTAACTGAATCAATCCTCTGTCAGGTCCTTAGGTCCCCAACCCCACCCCAGCCCTGCTCCACTCCCTGCCTTCAAAGAGGGGAGCAAAACCCTCATCTATAGATATTCCCCAACTGCTTAACATCTTACAATTTTTCATTTGAGACATATGCCTAGAAATTCTGACACAGAACTACCCAACCCTACTGTGGGACCCAGGAAATTTAACAAAAATCCCCTACCCCTGGACAAGCAGAGTAGGACTGATTCCATTTTGTGCTACACCCACCACCTCCCCTATGACCCCCACATGACCTGCTTATGGCTTAAGGCGCTACCCCACCCTAGTCAAGCCGCTGGGCACACCCTCATCGGAAATCCGCTCATGACAATGTAACCCCGCCTTGTGCCCGCCAAAACTGCGCGCTAATTCCGACCAGAGTGATAGGCCAGCTCAAATGGTCACTATAGGGTGAATCGTGATTCAACTGGCCACCTGCGTGTGGACCGACATGACTGTGCAACTTTCTGCGTATGTTACAATCCCACTGGCCCCCATAAAGCTGCTTCGCCTCTTAGTCTCGGGGTCCAAATCCCTACTCCGCTGTGTCGGGTACACTTGGACCCAAGTTCGAGCTTGTAAATAAACCCTCGTGTGTTTGCATCGGTGTCGGCTCCTTGGTGGTTTCTCGGATTCGCAATCTTGGGCACAACACCTACAACAGTAGGTTAGTGGCTAACATCCTGTTCCAGAGAGCACTAGGCTGCCTTCCTTGCACTGGGCAGCTCTATGGTATGCTCCTTAAGAAAACTGATCTTTCAAAAGGCGCTTGGGTGGGCCCCCATTTCGAGGGCCTGATGGATGCTGACAGGTGTGCAGATTCAAACGGACTCTCCTATCACCTGGTCGCTTACTGAACTTTACTGATACGGACTGAATCATTTTCAACAGTTTTAAGTTAGTTAGATGTCACATAATTCAGTATTGAAAACTTTTTAATATTGCTCTGAAGATCAAGGTGGAGAAGGAATTCAAGCATGTATCTGACAGGAGGTACTAAAAGAGAGAGAGGCCTGGGGCTGTTGCCACTGCGAATCAGGGCAGGGAGGGGCGCGAGGCGGGCCGGCTGACTAGCTGGGCCCCGCGGGCCGCTTTTCCCACCTGTGCGCCAGGCTTCGCGGCCAGCTCCCAAGGGCACTGCCGGGACACACTTTGGGGACACACCAAGCCCGGGCCCCCACTCCGGAGGGCCCCACTGGGTGGCCAGTTTTCATCACTGAGCAGCCACTTTTGGAGAAATAATGAAGGAAGAGGATAAAAACACTAGCAACCAGAATAGTTAACTTGGCTGACCGCGCGCCCGCAAGGTCCTTCAGGGGCAGCTGGCCTGGCCTGGAGGACATCGGCCTCAGCTCACCTCACAGCGGTTCCGAGCTAAGGCGTCAAGGAGGCAGCCTGCCTGCCTCTCCAGCCAGCCGAGCCCGCGGGGCACATGCCCACTGCTGTCCTGCCTCCTCGTCTTCCTCATCTCTGTGCTGGGACAAAAGTCCAGCACTGGTCCCCATGCAGGAGAGCAGGTGCAGGAGCACCGACTCACTTTACCCGGGGGCCCTCTTGTCCCTGAGAGCAGGAAATGACAAGGAAACCCAGACAGCAGTAGTGCTAGCCTCAGCAGCCCTTCTGAGTGATGTCTAGTCCCGATGACTTTGTGATCTCCAGAGTCGTAAACACCTGTTCGAAAGGAAGAAAACCACACAAATTTAGATTTAGCCATCAATACTTAAGCCTTTGCTTTAAGAAAACACATTTTGAATATTATACCTAGGTTAACCTTCAAACTATACGAAGCAGTTACTCATAGAAAATCTTCCTGACGATGTGCTTTAGGATAGCTTTTTTTTTTAAAAAAATATTTATCTATTCATGAGAGACAAGGAGAGAGGCAGAGACACAGGCAGAGGGAGAAGCAGGCTCCCTGCGGGGAGCCCGATGTGGGACTCAATCCCAGGACCCCGGGATCATGCCCTAAGCTGAAGGCAGACGCTCAGCTGCTAGTTTTTCAAAGAACACCAACTGACATCAATAAAAACAAAGCTATCCCCGTACCTCACCACAGGTGGGATGAATTCCAATGGTATCATCAAGTAGCTGCTTTGTGAGCCCACATTTCATTGCGGCAGCAAACCCTTGGGTAACCTCACCGGCATTGGGTCCGAGGACATGGAATCCTATCACCCGATACTTGAATATGCAAACATAAGAAAGAGAAGCCCCGTGGGTTAATGATCTGAACAGGAATCTATTTATTGCAAGTTCACAGTTAACATTTACAGCAGCTACTACAGAAAAAGAACTCTAATGCTGAACAGAGCAGAGAACATTATCACAAAGCCAAACCACTGTAAGAATCTGTTAAATGAGCCAGTAAATGCATATCCAGAGTTAATTTGCACTCAAATTTACTAGAACAAGCAATTTACCCACCGCATGAAGGAGTTCATTAGTATGATGTAAATTTCCAAATTATGCTGAGATCTTACTAAACAACAACATAACAAATCTGAATTAAAGTCCAAGGCTGGAATAAGTCTACGGCATCAGGGTCGGGAACTGCCGTGGCTCCTGGCCCAGGAAGCAAGCTGCCTGGGCTCCTAAGGTAAGTAGGCAGCGATCAGGTGTAGCCAGAGGGGGCTTTTACTGGGGAGCGACCAGGCGCAGGGGAGGAGCTGACCCACCAAGACAGGGGTGGGGGTTGGGGAGCCTAGATCCAGAGTGTATTTCCAGAGTAACACTGCGTTTTAGGCTGTCCAGGTTTTTTTCATCAGGCTCTAGTCTTCAATCTGATGTTCAACAGTGAAAGTGCTCAACAGATGGAAGCCAGGGCTGAGCCTGTGCCACCTGATTCTGGAGGGAAAACAAAGCAAGCCCAACCTCGGGCACATCTACAGGTGGGCACTCGCGGAGGGCTCTGGGAGCAGCGTGTCTCAGAGGGCTGGCCGTCACAGGAGGCGACAGGAGCCTCGGGTGAAGAGCAGGAGTTCCGGGCCAGAGGAAGGCTCCTGAACCGGAATCTCTGAGATGGGTACTGTGGAGCAAAGTGGGGAAGGGGGACGGCCCAGGGAAACAAAGGACCTCTGATGAAAATATGCACTTCTAAGCAGGTGTGCAAGGGCTGTGGAGGGTGAGTTTGGGGAGTGGCAAGGGACAGAGCAGGTGTCCCAAGAGGAGTGGGCAGTCCTTGAAATAACGCCTCAGGCCCAAGGGTCCACACCCCTGTTGAGAGGATAGAAACATCCTGGCTCTACCAATCAGCCTAATGCTGCTCACAGCAGGGGGCAGCAGTGCAGGGAGACCATCTCCATGGGCTCCCTGCGGAAGAGCCACCTGCAGCTGGCACAACGGTAAGCTTGGATGGCTTCCGTTGTTCGCAGTCAGAACGAGCACCATGCAGCCAGGGCCCCCGGCAGAGAGCACGGCTGGGAACGTGACACAGCCCTGCAGCGTTTCCGGGGCGTCTGACCAATATCCCCTCCACTGCCTGGCATAGCTGTGCTAGAACCAAGGAACTATGTTCTAGGGCTCTGGGTGCCTTCACCCCTCAGGCAATGAGGCACGTGCTAACTGGCCATGAGCCTGTGACACCTGTTTCCTGTTACACTTAAAATTCGGTGGATTCAGAAAGATGACCACCACTCTGTAAACTTTATACAAGTATCAGTTATGGCTGTTCATACTTACCTAATTTTACAGTTCATCTCCCAGGTTACGAATTCTTAAAAAGGGATGAACCAGGCCCTACTGCTTTCTACACCGTGTTCTTTCCAAAACAAGTCATAAATAAGCTATGCTTTCAACTACGATAATGAAGGCGCCTGTTATCAATTTCATGCTCACCTTAATAACGGGGAAGGCAGAGAGCCTCTGCCCACCAGCTCTCCACCCCACTGATTCTTCTTTAACGAAAGCCTTCATTAGGAACCAGTTAATTAACTGCTTTCACTTCATGCAAGCATCTCGTTCTAAAGGCTCTTCAACACACATTCGGTCAATTTTCAAAATGCACACACACACCCTACGTTTTACTAGTTGATGACCCAAACTTTCACAGATCATCTGGTTCTACACTGCCAGGTCAGATAGCTTGAGAGGAGACAACTTTCAATGATTTTTTTTTTTTTGAGAAGATATTAGTGAGCCTCAATTACAATCTGTTACTTGTTCAACTTCCACAAACACATGGACTGGGTAACAATTTGAAGGACGTCTGTTTTGCCCTGAAAGCCGTCTTTAAAGAGATGATTCAAACCCAAATACTGGATTAAAAGCAACAGTTTAAAATGACAGCTTTTTAAATTCTAATCTTATTACATACGTTGTCCAATTTATTGCAAATTATCTTTGCGTAACAAGTATTGTTGTCTCTGCCGGCCACTGTCCATTCAAGAGGCCAGAACAAAGTATGATACACCTGCAAGACAAGGAAATAGGCCAAGATTAATGTCTGTGAAAACCACTCCCTGAGGGCAGCCCAGGTGGCTCAGCGGTTTAGCATCGCCTTCAGTCCAGGACGTGATCCTGGAGACCCGGGATTGAGTCCCACGTCAGGCTCCCTACATTGAAGCCTGCTTCTCCCTCTGCCTGTGTCTCTGCCTCTCTCTCTCTCTCTCTCATGAATAAATAAATAAAATCTTAAAAAAAAAAGAAAACCACTCCCTGATACACTCTTTAATTATATAAAGATGATAATCTCTAGAGCAGTTTCATGATCTCGACTTTATGGGTCTACTGGAAGCATCTGGGCCACCGCTCCCAAAATACCACCTGCACAAGTGTGTTGACCTTTTTTATTGTTCTGCTGTTAGTCCAAGAAATCTCCTTATTAATTCAATTTTCAAACATTTCTAGAGTACTACTCTCCAGGGCAATGCAGTAGGCCCTATGTCACTGGAGAAGGTGCACAAAGACCTAGATTTGGCTTCAATGAATTTACAACCTGCCTACAAGGTTCGTAATCACACCAAATCTAAGAGAAGCAGAAGAAATAAAATAGTCCCGGCCATTCAAGGATATTAAGAGCAATGGGATCCCTGGGTGGCGCAGCAGTTTGGCGCCTGCCTTTGGCCCAGGGCGCGATCCTGGAGACCCGGGATCGAATCCCACATCGGGCTCCCGGTGCATGGAGCCTGCTTCTCCCTCTGCCTGTGTCTCTGCTTCTCTCTCTCTCATTCTATGTGACTATCATAAATAAATAAAAATTAAAAAAAAAAAAAGAACACTACCTCTGCTACTTGAGAGCCCTCACTCCAGCTCTCTGAGTGCATCCTCTAAGGTGCCTCGATCTGGCCTGGTCAGCGAGGAATGAACATGGACAAAGTGCAACACACGCTCCACTCATGGGGGTTACATTTCCTCAGCCTGTTCCTCCTAAATGCTCCACACAGAAGGCAAGGGATTAATGTCTGCTGCCAGGATAAGAAATGAATTCCAAACTAAAATCCACAGTGGAAGGATTTAAATACTGATTCTTTGTTCTTTAATAGGATTATGTATTTTATATTTTGAATTATGTCTTTATTGTTTTATAAAAATACAAGGTTATAAGAATTATGCAGTGCAGAAAGAAAGTAAAAACAAAACAAAAAACTACCATCCAGAAATAAACATTTTACATGTTAGGGAAGCATCAATTGTTGGTGCATAGGTAATAAAAATGAAATTTTATTTATTTAGATTTTATTTATTTATTTGACAGAGAGAGTGCATGCACAAGAGCACAAGCAGGGGCAGAGGGAGAAGCAGACTCCTGCTGAGCAGGGAGCCTGATGTGGGGCTCAATCTCAGGACCCTGCGATCATGACCTGAGCAAAAGGCAGGCCTTAACTGACGGAGCCACCCAGGCACCCTGGAATTTTTATTTAAAAGATAAGAGAGAACACGATTATTTGTAATTAAAATCATTAGATTTAACTTGTATTTAATGGAAGAGAAAGTCTTACACATATTTTAATACAAAATTTCAATCTCTGTGGCTGTTAGGAATGGAAGATAAAGGTTTCTTTACCTCAAGATAGTATTTCCTAAAAGACAAGTTAAGAAAAGAAATGGTGAAAATTCAGGTTTCAAACAAGATTTCCCAAATCGCAAGCCTGTTTCTGACTTGCTCTATGCCACCCAGCTATACAGAATATGAAGTACTCTTAGAACTCAATAAAAAAGACAACACAATCTTTAAAACGGCAAAGGAGCTAAATAGATATTTGTCCCAAAAAAGGTGTACAACTAGCCTGTAAAGCCAGGAAAAGACACCCAATATCATTAGTCACCAGGGAAATGTAAACGGAAACCAAAAAGAGATGTAGCAGTTTCCCAGAGCTGCTCCAACACATTGCCACAAACCTGGTGGCTTAAAGCAAAAGTTTATAATCTTGCAGTTCTGAAGGCCAGAAATCTGAAATCAAGGTGTCTGCACAGCCAGGCTCCTTCCAAAGGTTCTAAAAGGAGAATTCCTTGCCCTTTAGCTTCCAGTATCTCTGGGTGTTTCTTGGCTTGGGGTGAAAACTTCAATCTCTGCTTTTGTTTTCACATGGCCTTATCTTCTGTTATAAGGACACTTGTCCTCGGGTATAGGACCAGAAAATCCAGGACAATCTCATCTCAAGATTCTTAATTCTACCTGCAAAGAAAGACCCTTTTTCCAAATAAGGTCACATTCACTGGTTCCAGGGGCTAGGCTGTGGTCATATCTTTTTGGGAGTCACCCACTATAGATAGCTATCATCAAAAAAGACAGGCAATAACAAGTGTCGGTGAAAATGTGAAGACACCGGAACCCTCACACATTGTTGCTAAGAAGGTAAAATGTCTTCTGCCTTGAAGAACAGCCTGCCTGTTCCTCAAAAAGTTCAACACAGAATCTCCCTGTGACTCAGTAATTCTACTCTTAGGTATAGACTCAAGAAAATGGATAGCATTCTGTCCACACAAGAACTTGTACAGGGATGCATATGGCAGCTTCACTCTCGACAGCTCAGAAGTGGTAGTAGTCCACATGTCTGTCAACTGGTGAATGGAATAAAATGTGGTATTATCTATATAAGGGATTATTAATCAGCAAAAAAAGAAATGAATATTGTGGCACATGCCTCAACAAGGATGAATCTTGGAAACTAGCTTACGTGAGGAGAAAGAAGCCGGTCACAAAGGACCACGTACTAAATGATGCCACTTACAGGAAATGCCCACAATAAGCAGATCTAGAGAGGGGATAGAGGAAAACAAGTAGCAACTGCTAACAGGTGCCAGGTTTCTTTCTGGGATGATGAAAATGTTCTCAAAGTGATTGTGGTACTGGTCATACAACTCTGAGAAGATACTAAAATCCACTAAACTGCACACTGTAAGTGGTTATGGTTTATGTCTTATGCCTCAGTAAAGCTATTTTTTAATGAAACTATTCAGATCTGAGTCACATAGTAAACTATGGTTATTTTACTCTCATGAACTTTTAATTTTCTATAGAATTAAAGACTATCTTGTTTTGCCATAGACTTAATTTTTCCTGCACCCACCCCGATTTATCCCAAAGTCTTTCCAATTACTTAGGTCTTGCTTTCTTTTTTTCCCCCCTTTATTTCTTTTAACAATGTTTCAAGGTTTAACCATCTTGGTTACATTTATTAAATTTATTCCTAAGTATTCCTCATGCTGTTGTGATTGTTTTTAAATTTCCTTTTTGGAGCGCTCATTGCAAGTACATAGAAATACAACTGATTTTTGTGTGTTTTCATGCCCTGCAACTTTGCTAAATTCATTTAGTTCTATTATGGGCTGAATTATGTCACACTCTCAAAATAAATTTGTACTTTGAAATCCTAACTCCTAATATTCCAGAATGTAACCATATTTGGATAGGGTCATTAAAGAGGTAATTAAAATGAAGTCATTAGGGTGTCCCTAACTCAATATGACTGTGTCCTTACAAGAAAAGAAAATTAGGACACAGACGCTCAGAGGGAAGGTGATGTGAACATATAGGGAAAAGACAGCCATCTACAAACCAAGGAGGGGGCTGAGATACCCTTTGGTCATGGCCCACAGAAAGAGCCACCTCTACTGACACCCCTGGTCTCAGATTTCTAGCCTCTAGAACTGAGAAAATAAAAGCCTGTCTTTCACATATATAGACACTTTTCCCAAGAAGACATCCAGATGGCTAACAGACATGTGAAAAGATGCTCAACATCACTCAGCATCAGGGAAATACAAATCAAAATCACAATGGATACCACCTCAAGACAGTTGAGAATGGTGAAAATTAACAAGACAGGAAACAACAGATATTGGCGAGGATGTGGAGAAAGGGGAACCCTCTTGCACTGTTGGTGGGAATGTGAACTGGTGCAGCCACTCTGGAAAACTGTGTGGAGGTTCTTCAAAGAGTTAACAATAGACCTGCCCTATGACCCAGCAATTGCACTGCTGGGGATTTATCTAAAGGATAAAAAAAAAATGCTGATTTAAAGTGGCACATGCACCCAAATATTTATAGCAGCAATGTCCAGAGTAGCCAAACTATGGAAAAAGCCATAGTTGATGGGAAAATGGAAAAAATGTCCATCAACCGACGAATGAATAAAGATGTGGTATATACATATAATGGACTATTACTCAGTGATCAGAAAGAATGAAACCCTACCATTTGCGATGACATGGATGGAACTAGAGAGTATTATGCTACAGAGAATAAGTCAGAGAAAGACAAATATCATATGATTTTACTTGTATGTGGAATTTAAGAAACAAAACAGACGAACATGGGGAAGGGAAGGAAAAATAAAGTAAGATGAAAACAGAGGAGGCAAACCATAGAAGACTTAAATATAGAGAACACCCTGAGGGTTGTTGGAGCAGGGATGGGCTAAGTGGGTAATGGGCACTAAGGAGGGCACTTGTTGGGTGAGCATATAGGTTTACATGCAACTGATGAATCATTAAATTCTACTCCTGAAAGCAATACTATATGTTAATTAACATGAATTTAAATCTTTAAAAACATCTTTCATTTATGGCCTTATTCATGTTAAGAAGGTTCCCTTTAAATTCCTAGTTTATTGTTGTTTTTTTTTTTTATCACGAGTGCTAAATTTTGTCAAATGCTTTTTTTGCATGGAGATGATCATGTGGTTTTTTCCCCCTTCATTCTATTATATGATATACTACATTGACTGATTTTCATATGTTGAGCCATTCTTGCATTCTGAGAATAAATACCATTTAGTTATTATATATAATCCTTTTTGGTTCCTTTTCACAATTTCTCTTTAATGATATTTTGTTCAGATACTGTTTTCCTGATTTCCTTTAGTTATTTGTCCACAATTTCCTTTAGCTCACTGAATACATTTTACATTGATTTAATAGTTGATTTAATGTCTTTGTCTAATAATTCCAAAGTCTGCGCTTCTTCTG